AAAGAACCGTCAAAAAATGACCACCGCTTGGGGGACCAACCCCCCAAACCCCTTGTTGCAAGCTAACGCCTGATAAGAAACTCAATCCAGATCCGGAAGCTAGCTTTCGTGATTAAAGCCTAACTGATACTGGTATGCGGCGCATCCCAGCGGAGGTCTACTTGGCTTCGGCTGCCAAGGCGGCTGAAGCGCATTGACCAATTTTCTTGAAAGTTCTTAGGTCGGGACGTCTACCTCTTTATCGAGGGGGACACTCGCCGTGGCTCTTGCGAAGCCCAACCAAAACCCTGGCACCCTGCAGGGCTGGAGGAAAATTGCCCTTTATGATGCTGCTTCAAAGGGTCAGTCGGCTTCTTGCAGTGCTCCACTGTGTTACGACACGGGCAGCAAGATTTGCCGGCTCCCAGTCGCATGGTTAGAAGCTATCTGAGTTGGGTTCGGTCGCAGACATCCAGTGCTGCTGTGTTGTTCGAGTGCCTAAACGGCTGTGCTGCGTCAGCACCTGCCGAAGTGCCGCGGTATTCTTGGAAAGCACCCTCAGCAACGAGTCGACATAGCATCGACGGGGAGCGCCTCTCAAGGTCCCAGTCAAACTTCAGCTGGCATTTCCCCAAGCTTACACTCGATGCTTGCTATGAGTATTTCCACAATTCCATGGTCCCATGATGACAAAGTGTCCATGCTGGAGCTGTTCTGTGATTTCTATGCCTTCACGGGGGCCAGCCTAGTTAATCCCAAAGGTGGACAGCGACCTCCTTTGAGCGCGCAGGAACTGAAATTTTGTCATTGTACTCCTGCCAGCCAAAAGTGAAAGGCGGCCCACGGGGCAGTCGCATTAGTTGAGACCACCAGCCATGATCTTAATGCGGTCAAGCTTCGAGTCAAACATGCGGACGCGGTGTCGGCCTTCGAGGCCACACTTACGGGCTTGTAAAACTTTCCAATTCTGGTCTTAGTTGGGAGGATAAGGCTGCGTCTCCGCACCACTTCTTCACGCGCAACGGCGTCATGCTGTTGGTGTGGCAAATGATGTCGGGATGGGTACTTCGATGGACTCTGGCTGCCCCTTCTTTTACGCATAGCGCACTGGAGCTCAGAAAGGATCCGAGACCCTTCACATTTGCCGCTGCAGTTCGTACCATGCCATGTCATGACTAAACAATGGAGTGGGTCCCCGTTAGCTCACCAGGCTACCGGTGCCCTTGTTTCAAACCTCACCCGTTTCGGCCTCCCTAAGCAAGCCGAAGGTCTAAAGATGAAGCCTGTGTTAAGATGTCCTGACAAAGTCCATGCTTTTCTCATATGGGCCAGGATGCATGGAACACCTTTCCGGTCCTGACACTTCACCATTCCGCTTCACATCTTAAGGAATGAGTTAACGTGTCTTTAGGGGTGTGGATTGGCATCACCCCTTCTTTTTTTCTGTGCATATACCAGTTTGCATCCACAGCGCGACCAGACCTCTGAGCAGAAGCGCTTCTGCAGGCCCAGTAGGTCTTTTAGGGTTTGATTTGGGGTCGCCCTTTCTGTTTAGATGGGTGTAGGATGGTGTAGGTAGACTGCCCTTGAAACATTGGGTGCTCCGCCATGTCACGCATTTGCAGCTTTGTAGCTGCTGCATCTGCCAGCCAGTTACCCCGAACCACTCCGTAGGAGAACCGACTTCTCCACGACCATGTAGGGTTTGATTTTGGGGTCGCCTTCGCGGGTTGCATCATTTTTGCCTACTTTCCCTTGGGGTTTTGGGTGACCGCGCCCGAATATCCCGCTTCTGTGTTAGAGCGCAGCGCCGATGCTGCTGATGCACCTCGCAGGTGACCCAGATCAGGCGTCCGCATACCTGTTCGAGGTCCCGCACTCGGCCAAATGATCACCGATTAATAGTAATGACCAACTGGATGCCGGGCTCCTCAAGTGATTAGAGGAAATACACCCGCAACAGGAAAAAAGGGACAGGCGGTTGATGTCTCTCTTGGGACCGGGCTCATCGAGTTGAATGGTGCCAAGGGGGCGTTGGTGGAATATGTTCCGAACGGTTCGCATGATGATTGAAGGTTCTTGGTTTACAACCGGGGCCACACAGGATATAGCTCAGCGCACGCTCACCGGCACTCTGCCAGGCACACCGACCGCTGACGCATTGATTCAACTGGCCCAGTCAGTTTTTCTAAGCGGACTGGCGCAGCATTTGATTTAGACGAGAGGGGCCTTTGTGTGCGTGTGAAGGACCAGGGAGATGCTGCACCGGCGGTCTCATGGGCGGATGACGTGGCCGTGTGCAACGCGTGTTGCCATGCCATCATGTGGGAACCATTGGTACAAGAAGTTGAGGAGCGCAGTCAGGAGGTTGGTGCGTAGCTCAATTTTGAAGTGAACAAGACAGAGGGCCGGACAGCGCTGAGGCCAGACACAAATACTTGCTGACTGCGAGGCCATCCCTCCAGGTTAAGCTCAAGAATGGCCAAGAGGCTTGCGTTCATCTTGCGGACAGCTACGTTCATCTTGGCACCATTGTCGAGCATAGTAGTTCCCACAGACGGGATGTTGAAAGCCGCAGGGAGGCCACTTGCTAACGAAGATCAACAATGTTTCTGTAGTGCTGTCATGTCCTTCTACCACTCCAGTTGTTGGGCTATTGCAGGGTGTAGTTCCAAGCTGCTGCGTGATGAGGTGTGCGTGGTGAGAGGGTGCGTCTCTTGGAGGTTGTTGGGCATAGACCTGGATTCCTGTGGGACCTGCATGTTGCAGAAGTTCAGTGCTGCAGAGCAGCTTTGACCTTGCTGGGCGTTCTGGGGAGCTTCCGGTTGAGGACAAGGCGTGCTTGCGTTGAGGTGCAGAGTCCAGCAGGGCAAGCAGCTGTTAAAGGCGAACGGTCAACAGGCTGTTGGTTGCAGATTGCATCAAGCAGAGCAGGCCCAGGCCTTCCACAGTTGATCAAGCAGCATGAGTTGGAGGGTAGCATTGTAGTTGCGCAGCCCAAGCCAATGTTGGAGATTGGCGGCAAATGGAATTGTAGTTACGTTGAGAGCTTACGTTGTTGGTACTTGTCAGAGTTGCGGTCGCCAGTGTTGGACTACATCACGCCTACGAGCACATGTCCACAATGTGGAAGGCGACCGTGCGGGCGAACCTCCACGTGATGGTCGCTGGGTGACACACTTGCACATAAAGTTGGTAAGCGGCTTGGAAGGCATTTACGTATTGGAAGCGGGGAAAGAGAACACAAAAAAGGGGACGGATTGTCCGCGACAAAATGTCTGAATTCGGGTTCGATGGTGTTTGGGTGGCAAAGGTGTCAGCTAATCCCTCGCCTCTGGCTGTTCGCTACTAGGAGATGGGTGAAGGTTTTTGGTGTTGTGGGTGGGTGCAGCGACGGGATGCCCGCAAATATCGCGGTAACCTCATTCAGGCTGTCGATTGAGGTTTTTTGGGGAAGGGTTATCGAATTGGGCAGGGGCAGGTGTTGGGACCTGGAAGCTGTCGCGGAAGGGGACCGCCTGTCTGCTGCCGAGGTTTATCGCTCCGGACTGTTGAAAGGGTGGGCAGTCGGGAAAAACTGAATCGGAAGCGGTTAAGGCGGTGATGGCTGGGCTTGCTCGATGGCAAGTTACACCCCGGACACTCCTTCCTCGTATGGTTCTTTGTGCACTCCGGTGAAGGTGGTGACAGTGTGGGATGGCAGGAAGCGGACTGTGATGTCGGTTTCGAGCTTTCGGCGGTGAGCGGAGAAGATTGGATTCTTCGTCAATGAGGTGGCGCGACCACGATATGCTAGGGTCAACGCGAAGGTAGGTGTCTTTTAAACGAACCCACCACCGGGCATGTCCCAGGTGTGTATGCGCCGAGGCATGTCCTACGGCCGGGCCGGGTGACGTCACGTACTGATCCCGAGGGTTCTGGTGCGTCGTGCCTAAATGCGTAACTAATTACGCTGGTACAAGCCGCTTACCAAACTTCAGTGCAGGTGCCCAGTCCACCCCCTGACCCCCACAGATGGTAGCTCTGCATGGCTTCTTGCTTTTACTGTGGGTGAAAAGTACTTGGTGAGGAACGGAGGGTGGGCTGCAGGGTCTTTGTGAGAGTCAGGTTGTTTTCGTTGGGAGAGAGCAATGGCAGATAAGTAAACTGACTGACTGACTGACTGACTGACTCCACATGGCAGATATCAGCATGCTGATCTCAGCCTCCGGAAGAGTAGGAGCTTTCTGGGTTGGCTGAAAGAGCCTGGAGGTCCGTGTGTGAGGTCAGTTTGGCTAAGCCGTTCTGGGCATCCTCGAGTCCGGGTGTTGAGTTTGATGCTGATATTGAAAGGGGCTTGGCGACCACTGATGCTGACAACTGCCGTGCGGAGGGCTTTGCTGAGCTCCAGGTACTGTTGAGGAGCGGATCGCAGATACCCACTGCTCAGTGGATTGCACGGACTCTAGAGTCCAGCATGAAGGATTTCTTGCCCGTAAAGCTACCGCTCAAACTGCAATTGCTGAACTGTGCTGTCAATTGGCTTGTGCCTATTTCAAGCCTGGTGCGTATAACCAGGGCAGATGGATGGCTGTGGTTCATGAGAGATTCATTGCTTTCTGTCAGGTGCTTTAGCTGTGCTTTGTGAATTCAAGAGCGTGACTGGACAGTCTCTGGCCTCATAGAAGAAAAGGCTGCAAGTCAGGCCCTACAGCAGAATCCAAAGTTCTCACTTCAGATAAAGCACAGGTCATGCTGCGATTCAAAACCTGCCTGCACCGGCTGAGGGTCCCAAAGTAAAGACGCTTTGAGCCTTCTGCGCTAGAGCCTCGAAGGACCCACAACACTTGCTTCGCGTACGAAGAGAAAGTCGAAAGCTAGTTAAAGACACGATTCTTTTCTCCACTTTTGCTTAAGGCAACTCATCATGGAAGATGGACCTCTGTCGCGCGCAAGAGAACCCATCGCGGTGCATCTCGGGCAAGGCTCTTTGAGCTGAAATCTCTCCCAAAACAGCAACACTAAACCGTGCTAGCCGGCAGCTAGGCCTGCAAAGGCAAAGGCTTATTATCGAACCATGTCCAGAAAACCCTTCGTCGCCGATCATCTGCTGTCAGATCCACGGAAATCTCGAAGCGTGCGTCTGGCTTGGAGCTACGAATTAGCCAGCAGGCCGCAGAGTGGTTGCAGCCAGGACCTTCAACAATGTACTCAAAAGGCTGGGCATTTCCCAGCTCAGGATACAATGCTTGATTCATGTCCTCATCAATGATGACATAGAACTGCTCCACGTATGCGTTGTACTGCGGAGAGAATGTTCCTTGCATCCTGCCATAGGCTTTGAAAACACCTGGCTCATCAGGATCCGCCACCATTTGCACTGGCACCTTGTCGGAAGCAGTTCGGGGGGGGGGAGCTACCTCAAGCAACCTCTACTGCACGTCTGAAACTTGGGCCCGCGCCCAGCTGCTCCACGATGCATATGCAAAGTAGCTATGGCGCTCCCAGCCATCTTCGCTTTCCCAAGTCTTGTCTCCTCTGATCTCTGACGAAACTGTGACCTTGACATGGCCGTCAACCTTAGCAGATAAGTGGCACAAACCCAAAATCCGGGCATGCATGAACAAAACATGATGAACGTATCAAGCCCCACGCCAACTCGAGGATCACTCGCAGGTCCTCGTTTGGCATTCCGTGAATGCGCCAGAACTTGCCGCGTCCCAGACTGTCCGGTCCACGCACAGGCACGGTAGTTCGAATGGCTCCGTTTTTCGCCGGGTAGATGAGCTGATTCACATCACCATCCTTGACAGGCCGCATATGAATCTGAACACAAGCTGGACAAAAAAACCTCTAGCAGCAAAACACAGCTCACACAGCTTACAGCAAACAACAACTCGGAAACCAGAAGTACGAGGCGCTCTGGCAATCTGGAAGTCCTCCTCGCCGGAGACTCCAAGGCGAAAGGTGCCCTCCCACATGCCACTATGGACGATGCGCATTTCTTGGAAGTGCCCCGATGTGAAGCTTCCAGTCAGGCTGTAGCTATGCACAAACGGCTCCGCCAGGCTGTCATCAATAGCGGCACCAATCTGCAGGGCTAGGAGGTAATGTAACCCGGAATGCTGTGCACATAGAATGTAAATGGGTTTCATGCATGGGCCTGTTTCCAGCTGATGCGCTTAATCTGAGATGCACAATGAAATTCAACCTCACAAAGCGTTCCGCTAGGCATGTCCAGTTCGCGCCCATCAATCAGCCAATAACGACCGTTGCTCTTCGCGTCGGGACCCTCGATCCAGATCTTGCTCGATGCATCCTGTTGGCATCGACAGGGGACTGGCTTACGCACTTCTCCGCTCATGCTTTCCTTGAGAGGCAACCACCCTTTCCCTTCTCACCAAGCGGATAAAGCCCCAGAGAATCTTTGCCTTGATGACAGGATAGATCTCCATTGATCGGTCTCTGTCTTGACAAAGACGAAACATTTCATACCGGGTCTCGCCCAGAATCACCGGTGCTACGTAAAGTCCTTAGCACTTACAGCCCGCCAAGTCCGATGCTAGAAACCATTTGCCGCAACCTGGAAATGGATCCCAGTCAGAAGTCCGTAGACGTGTGGTTGGCCAACACAACCCTGAAAGGCACTATGGATGCTGCGCGGTACATGGGCATGTCAAGTAAGCAGAACTGAAACCATGAAATTACAGAAGTTTCATATACCAAAACTAGATAAACTTCAGCAAGCCACCTGGACCTTTTCTTTCCATCAGCTCCATCTTGGTCCATCCGCTCCAAGACCCCAAGATGTAGAGTTCAACATCGGGGTCCAAATCCTCTTCATCCTCGTGTTGATTGGCACATATGTGATCTAAAGAGCATACATTCTGCGAACATCACATCTGACGACATGCCACCCACTCTGACAAGGATTTTTGTGATCGAAGCCGCCTCCTGCGCGAAGCGACGGTAACGGAAACCTCCAGCATATGCTTCCGACGAAATGTCGTAGGGCGCCCATTCATCACGCAAGACATCAGCCTGCAGCGTGTACTACTTTTAGAGGCAACGCAAGAACTGAAAGTATGAAGACCCACAGCCAGCAGGTACTGTTTGGTACTGCTGAGCTGCCTTGTAACCACGTCGCTTCTTGAAGGATTCCGTGATCGGCTCACCAGTAGTTGCTTCGATTAACCCAAGCGTGATTGGGCAGCGCAGGTGCACCTGGTCAGCCTTCGAGATGTCCAGCTCGTGGCTGGCCTTAGCAAGACAACCAAGACTAGAGCTTCAAAGCTTCTGAATTCGCTGTACTCCCACACCTTTTAGAGCAAGTTTGATCATGCACCACGGGCCTTCCTGGGACCGGACTTGCATTGGCTCCACACGTCTGCCCGAGCATTTGTGCCACTGAAGCCGAAGGAAGACACGCCAGCGTAGTTGCTGTTAAGGCGGGTCTCCACTGACTCTGTTTCAAAGCAAGTAGGAAAGCCGTCTACATCCAGGTGAGGGTTCAATGAATTCAGGTGGCAGTTGGGATCTGATGTGGACCTTGACACCATGCTGACGCACTTGATGAGGCCGATCATTCCTGCGCACGCCTCCGTGTGTCCAATGTTGGACTTTGCACTTGTGACTAGCAGCGGGGTCTCTCGAGGCTCCATGACTCCCCTCAAAGCGCCGACTTCAATTGGATCTCCCAAAGCTGTTCCGGTACCATGGCATTCTGCAATCGTGATCTGGCTTGCAGCAACCATAGCCTGCGCTGTCACAAGCACTCTGGACCCTTTTGCATCTTGCCTTGTGCAAACTACGCCCACACCTGCCTCGCGCATCGAATCTCGAATGCAGGCTTGCTGCGCCATTCCATTCGGAGCTGTCAGAGTTGCGCTTCTGCCATCTTGATTGACGTATGCGCCCATCAAGCAGCAAAGCCTCATCCAACTGATCACCAGACCGATGGGCTTCAGACAATTAGATGAAAGTCACTCGCAATGGCCCCCAAAGCACTGGGACCTGCCTCAACCTGCCTCAACCGGAAAGACATTTGCACCAGCCCGCAAATACATTTGAGCAGCTGATCCAGGTAGTCTTTGTCATTGTCACTGGGCTTAATGTAAACGGCGCCAAAGCCATCTCCTCTTGCATAACCTTCGGCACTAACGTCGAACGTGAAACAGCGGCCCTTCGCAGCAAGCATTGATGGGCCACAAAGGCCGATGAATACTCCCGGATTTGTCAACATGTTGATGCCCATGCACAAAGCATCGCTATTGTGTTTGTCTGCAATGGGCTTGACCTGCCCACTGGTGGCCTTCCTCATGGACTGGACGGCCGTCGAGACCCCGACCAATGAGGCTGAGCAAGCAGTATCAACGTTTGTGGAACCACCCCGCAGCCCAAAAATGTGCGACAGCCTTCCGGCAGATACTGCCTTGGAGAGTCCGCCTTGGTAGGACAAGCAGTCTTGTGTCTCAGCACATGTCTGTCCCACAATGCCAGTCAAGTCTGCGCCGCTCACTACTTTCCTGTAGTAGGCTCTCTATTGATGACGTTGCAGGGCGATTCAGTGACCGCATCAACCTTATTGCTCCCTCGTGTCCAACGACTGCAAAAAAGGAGGCTGCTCCAATAAGTAGTAAGTGAGACATTTGCTGCAGTGTCCACGCAATTCTTCAGCACTGACTCAAGAACTAGGAGGAGCTGACTGGTATTGGCCTACCACTGGCGGCATAGAAACCACTAAGACCACGGCCATATGTGAGATGGTTGGCTTCGCAATTCCCAAACGGGATGGGACGGTGCGGATTCAGGGGGTTGTCGAGTATCTTGATCGAAAACCAGGGATCCCAATCTGCGCCCGTATCACCCAAGAAGGTGGCTGTGTTGCGCCCGGAAAGCGACTTGCGTTCCAGTCCAGCTTTCCTGAGAATTCATCATTGTGACAATCATCACATTTCAAGATGCATGTTCGGGTGCCTTCTGTACAATTGGCAGACCAAGGTTCCGCAAACACGCGTACCCTTCCTCCAATATGATCCGCTGGTTCGGGGCCATTGTCCTCACCTCTTCCTCCCGGATGCCGAAGAAGTGGTTGTCGAAGCACGTGACCTCCTGACGCGAGAAGTGTTTTTCAGTTGTTCCTTCAGCCTCTTGCTAATCTGTTGTCCATGAAGCTTTCAAGACCGCCCGAAGAGAAGCAACCCAGAAATCTAACTGCATAGAACTCGATTGATAGTTTTGTTGCCTCACTAAATTCAATTGGCAAGTAGTTATTGCTGGACTTACAACGCTTAGTGAGAGTGCTCGGGGCGTGTGCCTGCTCGGACATCATGGCTGCATGTCTGACGTAACTCATACCAGGAATCTTCTCCCCTTCTGGGCAGCAGTATAGCTCCGTGTCAAATCTCGAAGCTGGGATATGAATAAAGCCATCAACGCCAGATGTCAACATGCATTCGAAACCTTCCAGATCATATGCTCCGCCTGGTATATGGGCGTGCATGGCCATAATGTGCATTCTGTAGCCCGTCGGCATAGGAGGCCCAACGAAGATTCCAAGAGCTTCGGAGTGCTGCAGCGCATCATCCGAACCAAAAAAACCTTTGGCAGTCTGCCGTGCAGCCTGTGACCCTGTGTCAAGAATCCATGTCATCAAGGCTAGGGCATCCTTGCCCACTGGTTTGTATGAAAAGCTGAAGAGATCGCTGCGAAACACCAGCAACCGGCTTTCTAGAAGCGGAAGTGTCATTGCCTTGTAGGCAGGCTGGTCTGGTCTGGGCAGTAGCTCCAAAACACCTCCATCATTTGCAACCAACCGCATCAAACAGAGTCTCCTTCTTTGGATGAAAAGCAAGTGGTTCTCAAGGACGCCTGCATCCACGTCCTGATGCCATGGCAAAACTTAAAACGAGGTTCAAACGTTTGCATAGATGCGTTGCAGCCTACATTAGGGACTTCACTGTCACCCTCAAGCCCGTAAATCCGTTTGCTGTCATCAAAGCCTCCTCAGTGAGGGGCTGTGGTCTGAGCCTGTCAGACTCTTCTGTGTCGCCAAAAGGCATCCATACCATGCCTTTGCGCCGTCCGGCGCAGCTGAAGCCCAAGGCTTGAGGCGACAGCGGCGCTATGACTTTGCACAACGCTGTCAGTTCGGCATCCAATTCAGATAAGGCCCAGGAGTCAGAAATAGCACCTAGAGTTCTCCAGGTATCAACAAACACACAGACACACCTGAAGATGTTGGATGCCAGACAAGGAGCTGTTTCTGATGTTCTCTTGCAGAGTGGCCATTTTGCCGGAGCCATCTCTCCCGAAAAAATCTGGCATCAGCTCGGCACGCGGGCTTGCCTCCGTGGCAAAATATGGTAATCTTCAGGCGGAAGCCACTTTTACGAGGTCCAGCCCTCTGGAACGATGATGTTTGGCAAACAACTCTGCGCAAGCCAAGAAATCAAACGTCTGTGCTAGGCTCTTAGAGGGCTAAAGTCAAGCTGCCTGTCTTCCAGAAAGGGTCTGCTTCCACCAGTTCGCACAGACTCAACATGTTTAATTCTACCTTGCTGAAGAGGTGCGAAATTGGGCAGTGCCCTGGCTTCAGAAATCGCGGCGTTTCGCACCAGGGCATCATCAGCCATACGAATTTCACACCATCCATCCTGATCAATGGCAGCCTGAGCTGGACGTCTTCGCTCTCTCCACACTAGATGCATATATACATATGGTCACCCCCAATTGCCAACGACACGGCTTTTTTAAGTTAATACGAAAAACTGCAATGTCCCTAGTTTTGTTGGGTTACAATGTGTTTCGATTGATTTTTACTGAAAGAGAATGATTTGTCGAGGTTGTGCACACTTAAACCAGGAAAACACACGCGACAACGCCTTGGTTTGTATTTTCTGCTTTATCTAAAAACTTTGAATTCCCAACACATTGGTCATTTGTAGCATAGTACCATTAAAACAATCAGAAATCCAACAATCCAGAAATCCAAACATCCCAAAGTTCAGAAATCCAGAAATCCAAAAACGGAACTGCAGAACCTTGGATTTTTTATTTATGCAATTCGAGAAATGCCCTCAAAACTACACGCCCACTTTTCAAGAGGGGTCCCCGCAATAATGAATTCGGGAGGGTGGTTTTGGGGTCATTTGGAAGGATTATAATAAGGAATCCATAAGAATTAGGGATCCGCTTGCTTTCCTGCATTACTATTGCGTTATATAGCTTTGGTTTATGAAAACCTGGATGCGATGTTAATTGATGTAAACGAGATCGTCATGGGTTTGAGTGGATCTCAGTTGATTTTGAACCTTTTTTTTTAATTTTTTTTAATCAATCTACAATTAAGTTTGTATTCGATTTTTACCTGATTCTGATTAGATTTGAACTGGTTCCAATTAGATTCGCATGAGATGCTAATTAGCATTGAGCTGGATCAATTGAAATTTCACTTGGTTTCAGTTAGATTTCGAATGTTTTTTTATCTATATTTGAATTTTATCTGAATACGATTGAAATCGTATTTGCATCTAATTGGACTTTAGGGAGGAAGGGAGACGTTTGTTCTTTGGGAAAATTTCACATTGACTAGGTGTATGAAAAAAATGAATTTCTCAGGATTGGTTAAAATTCTCGACTGAACCAAAGCAGAAGTAGCATGCCAGAATATCTCATATAGCATTCCAGAAACCAATGGAACTTTCAAGGAATTCCACGCATATTCTACATAGGATCAGTAGCTAAGACTGGGAAGAAATCTTGATCAATTCAAGTTGGTTTGTTGTGACCGAGCAGACATTCTAGTTGGATGTGGCATGACGGATACAGGCATCACACGGAAATCAGGATAGCTCAAGAAACTCTACTTCCTGTTGACTAGATACAGGGAATGCTGCTTAGGTATAATGAAGGATAAGTATCCCTAAGGACTGGATTCGGGCTCGCGATTGAAGCTGAAGAAATCTGACTTGATATTAGGCTCATGTAAAAAATACAAAGTATCCAGTGCTTGGTGAAGTAATTAAGCTCAAGCCGGAGTAGTCTACATTATTTTTCTATATAGCTTTAGGGCATTACAGGACGTAGTGGAATTCCTAGTTGAATTTCAAACAAATAATAGTCTACGTTATTAAGGAGCGCCAAGAATTGGGTGGAATTCCTGACTAATTCAAGGGAAGTGTCCTTTATGCATAAGGGTTCTTTTCAACAGTAGAGTTCCCATATGAAAAATCAACGACTTGAACTCCATTTTCTGGACTGAAGGACTTTTTCATGATTCGGCAAAGTTTGTTTTTGTCAGCTTGGTATAGTGTGGTAGTTTGATTCCATGCATTAGAAATCACATTCCATCAAGTAGTTGATTTTCCAGTCAAGTCTGCACAAATATATATATATATATATATGTACATTTATAGCCAACTCAACAGGTTCCAACGAAGTTCCTGCTGAGCTTCACATAGGCTGTATCCGAACGGATGCACTTCTTAGGAGTGGATGAAATTGCAAGTTGGATTAGGGGTAAGGGATTCGAATTTGGTCTTTACTTTATAAGAAACACATTGCAAGAGTTGGTGAACTCCCACTTCAATCTGGGTGGTGAAGAGACTTCACATTACCTTTTTCCACAAGCGTACAATTCCTAGCTGGTTCTCGTTCGTTTCTATATACAAAACCTCAAAGAATTCATGGAATGCCTAATAATGCTGTTGAGGCTCCTGACAGGAATCAAAGGCTCTCCGGGACGTACGGGAATTCCCACTTGGAGTTTGATAAATGCAGATGAGGTAGCGTTTTGCAACTGAGGACAGCCCAATATTTGTGTACGGTATGAGTTGCTTCTAAAGAGTCAAATTTCATATATAGAGCTGCAGACTTTCCAGGCAGCAGCATTGGAATCCAGATTTAGATTTTGAGCTAGCTTTGGCAGGCTTGCTACTTTAAATTCAACATTTCTGACTAGAAATTGAGGAGAACCGAGGACCTTGTACTAGATTTGGATGTAATCCCACAGAATTTCCACGTTTGCGCGTGCATGGGGCGGGTGAGCATACAAAGGTATATACACGTATACATGTATGTGGCTGAGACCTTTTGGGTCTATTTCACGGCCTGCCTTGTCGTAAGCATGAAGCGGTAGGTAACATTAATATTGGTAACATTGCTATTACTACAAATACTTATAGTACTAGAGAATCTATTTAGTTACTCTTCGTAGTATTAGCAGTATTTGGAGTATTACCAGTATTAATACTAGTAATAATATTCATAGTATTAATGGTATTAGTAGTATCAATAGTGCTATCAGGTTGCATAGTTTTAATAGTTTTCTTAGTTTTAATCATTTTAGCGTCGGTAAAAGTATTAGTCCGTCTTCATATGACGAGAGAGCTCAAGCTGCATTCGATTCTGCTGAAGTCCTATGGGATGAAAAGAAACACCTGCAAGGAACTGGAGCTTGCACTTCTCTCAAGTTAATTGCATAT